CGAGTATAGTTTCTGATGTTATGAGGAGAAACAATCTCATAGCAAAGCCCCAAATCCACTCTGCTTTCACCATCTTTCTGTCCCCCCGGCCAATGTCTCATGAGTCTTAGGTGCTAGAGTGTTTTGCAGATGTATTCACTGAGACTAGGCTCTGCAATACTCTGCATTCTCATCTGTTGGGGTTTTCTGACAAGTCTCCATCTGTTCCTTTCTTCTTTTCACAATTCTTCATTGATTCTTTGGGGATTTCGCATCATTACTTCATTACCTTCCAATCTGCCCCTTACCCCGGTAGCATGTTCACCCAAGAGAACTCCCCTAAATTAATGAAAACAAAACATACCACACTCCCCCATCCTTCCAACATCTTTCATTCACCCTACTGGCACTGGGAGCTACAGTGTGTCACATAGTATACCCTTGTGTTCAGACAGCCCCCACCTGCAAAATATTGAATGCACTGAGTCTTGGGTCTGGCTGAAGACCTCTGGCACACCATTATCTCTGGGCCGTCACCCAGTACATCTCCTCAGATATACTGCTGATGCTCCATACCATGGAGATCCTGCTAACGCCCCACAGGACCAGCCCTTCACTCATGCCAGCAGGTCATACATGGGATGGATGTTAGGGTGAGCCGACCCAAAGCCCAGATTATGGGTCTGGGGGGTTGAGCTGGTCAGTCTGAGCCACTGGGACCACTTCCCCCTCAGGCAAGGTGTAGAGTCAGCTCTCCTAGGCCCAAGCCATTGGGGACAGCTTTCCCACACTTGTGGTAAGGCCTGGGATCATCTCTCCTGCTGCAGTGTTCAGTGAGGGTCAGGACCAGTTATCCCAGGACCAATGTGGGGTGGACCTGGTACAGCATGGGCACTGGATTTCAACAGATGTGATTCCTATGACCCTTGTGATAACACGGGCAATGGACATCATCCCAGACCCCAGCTGCAGCAAGAATATAGACCTAAGCATGACCCTTAGCAGCAGCTCAGGTCTGGACTTCATTACGTCCCTTGTGGCTGCACAGGACACCTAGGTGAGTATGGCCCCAACCGCAGAAAGGCCCTCGGACACCAATATAGTTGAGTCAGATCCTGGGCATCCATACAGCTCTCAGTAGTAACAGGAGCCATGGACATCAACCCAGACCATAGCTGCTGCTGTGCAATGGTCCATACAAGCTTCCTGGGCCTGGATGACACAATGGCCCCAGGTGGCAGCACAGGCCACCCAGATTTTCATGACTCAGGTGGCAGCATGGCCCTCAGACACCAACAAATGGCCACAGGTTCTTCCCAGACCCCTGGCATCTGTGTGGTCTTTGGTGGTACCATGGGCCATAGACATCAACACAGAACCTGGCTATGGTGTCAGAAGTCACCATGAAGTCACTATGATCCCAGGTGGCAGCTTTGAGTGACCTCCACAGCAGTGTGGCCCTTAGATACCAACATGGTCCCAGGTGATGGCCCCTGGCAGACTCCTGCTATCGGCATGGTCTTTTATGGCATCAGGAGCCACAGGCATCAACACAGGCTCTGGTTGTAGTAGAGCTAGGGACCCAGAGGTGGCCCCCATTTCAGTCCAGCTTGAATGTCACCATGGCATCTTGTAGCAATGGAGGCCACTTAGATCTATGTGGCCCCTGCTGCAGCATGAGCCTCAGATCTCAGGCCTCAGGAGCTGTCCCAGAGCCAGAGTATTTAGATGGCCTTTGTTAGTATTAGAGGCCACAACAGTCAATCCAGACCCTGGCTAAGGTAGGGCCACAGATCCAGACATGGCCTTACACCAGAGTCCAGGCTTAGATGTCACCATGGTCCTGGGTGATAGAATAGGCCTTCCAGATTAGCATGGCTCCCGTGACAGCTTGGCCCTCATGCCCACCATGGACTCGGGTGTCTGACCAGGTCCTGGTCATCCACATGGCCTTCAGTGGACATCAACACGCACCCCTACTGTGGTAGGACCATTAACACAGACAGACAGGCCTGGATGCCACTCTGCTTTTCTGTGGCAAACAGGCCACCATTAGTCCATGCCTAACTGCCCTTGTCTCTTCAGAACGGCCTCTTACCACAGCACGCACACAATCTCACCTCTTCTCTCTCATTTCTCCACTATGTGCTTGTTCATCATCATGGCCAGTGGATGCCTTCAGGCAGGCCAGTCTTCAAGAACCTTGGTTGCCCTATGGGTACCTCCTACCCATCTGAGCTATGTGGCATCAGATGGGCCTGTGGATGCCTAGGAAAATTTTCTTGATGAGGGGTGACACCTATACATACCTGTGAGTATAAGGACACATGTTCATATAGTATTGTCAGAAATTGTGTTGGTTTAGTGAATTATTGGTTGTAGATGCTTCTCCTTCTGTAAGCATGATTTCACTAGCACTGAATTAGTCACCCAGGTTTCTGATACCAGGCATAGCATCCATCTTTTTGATCAGGTCTTACAATCAATTAGAAAGTCTTTGGTTACCATAATCATGATACATACAGCCTTTATTGTGTTTGGGTGTGCACCCAATATTACTTTATCATAAAATGATGTTGGGCTCTTGTCAAAGAGAATTTTTGTGATTTCTATCTCATGTCAATATATGTAGTTGGTAACTTTTGTTGATTTCCATATGGTGGTCTACTGAATCTCTGGAATGAAGACAACTTAGTCACAACAAATTAACTTTTGATAAGTCTTTGAATTTGATTGGCAGTATTTTGTTAATACCTTTTAGACTTTTGTAGCTAAGAGAAAGGGTTTTCTAAATTTTGTAGATGCTGCTGCTGTTGTTGCTGAATCTAAACCTGTGTTTGGTACCAGGATAATACTGGCTCCATAAATCATTTGAGAGGGACTGAGTAGGTGAAAGGTGTGGTAGTTGAGGGAGGAAAGGTAAGGGAGTAAATGATGTAATTATATTTTAATTTTAAAAGAGAAAAAGGAAAAGGTTTTCATTTTGGAAATAACTTGAGTGTTATCAGTATTGTATAACATTTTTGGAAAGTCTTCAGAGAGGCAGTCTGGTCCTGGGTATTTTTGTACAAAGGGGTAGAATTACTTTTGTCAGGTATTTATTACTGCTTAAAACTCATTATTGGCTCTGTTTACTCATTTATATATTTTTTGTTTTGTTTGGCTTTTATCTAAATGTTTATTCATTTCTTTCATACTTTTTCCACTTAGTGAAATAGAGGTTTTTAAAATCTGACTTTATGATTGTTCTGGATGTATTTATATCTGCTGTAATGTCTCCTTTTTTGTTTCCAATCTTATAAACTTGGGTCTTCTCTCATTCCCATTAATTTAGCTAAAGGTCTGCCACTTTTTAAATTTCTTTCAAAGAATGAATTTGGTTTCATGGATTTTTCATATTTTAAAAAAAATTTCTCTTTAATAGTCATGCATGCATGACCATTCTTTACAATCCTCCCATCACTTCCAGGCTCCTTTTCTTCCAAATATCATCTGTGACACTTATTTGTTTTTAAGTTTCTATTGAGTCCTCCTATTGTATGGGGAGTATAGGTAGCCTCTCAAGGTTCACTTTTCAACTGTGAATCCCCCTACACGTATAAGCCATCAATGGTTAATAGCTTCTTGGATAGGGGTGAAACCCATTTGAGCCTCTCCCATCCATGCTGGGATCTTGGCTGGCTTGAACTTCTGCCAATCTTATGGATGCCATCCCAGCCACAATGAAACTTCACTATTTTCTCTCAAGACAAAAAGACCAGACATATAGAAACAGAGAGTAAAATAGGAGCTGAAGAGAATTGACTGAAATTTTGAAAGGAAAGGGGAAGGGAGGGCAAAGATAAGGTGGATAGTGTTTGGTAAATCCAACAGAAGAGAGAATGCTTTAGCCACTTGTACTGCACAAGTAACTAGAAACTTCTAGGTATCTACAGAAAGATCTTGAAGACACACAGAAATTTTAATATTTGAGTATATTTCAACGACAATTACAATGATTGTGTCACTTCGGTTCATATTATATGTGTAAACTGAATTTTATATGCGTTCCAGAAAGAACAAATATTATGCCTCAGTTAAATAACAGGTTTAAATAAAATTCAAAACCAAAGCAATTTTGAAATCAGCTTTGCCCCTACACGTTTTAGTTAAGTTTAGTTCCCATTAAGGGCTGTGGAAGATGTAGGCTGTGGGAAGCTGAGGTCAAATCTGCATAGACTAGTTAATTTATTGTCCATTGGGATATAGGCTAAGACCAGCACTCATTGTTTGAGCACATGTATACAAAACTGTATATGAACATAAGAAATACATAAATACATATACACATATATACACTATTTCTCCATACTCACATGCTTATGGCAAAGTTCAGTGCATCAGACAATAAGCTCAAGATTTAATGACAGGACCATGTCTATGGCAGACTATAATGAAATGTCCCTCTTGCCATTTTGTATGTTGAAGTACTCAATAATCTGGAAGTGTCACTTGAACCACAGCACTGTAACTACAGACATGGGGACCTTGATGTCCTTGACACAGTAACTGGGAAACTAGTACAGGGTTGAGGGGCTGGACAAGGGAGAGCCCAGCTCAGTCCTGTTCAGTAGAGCAGTATATGGTGCGATCACACTTCACAGAGAATCGAACTGGGTAAATTAATGTTGGTTAAAAATTATCAAATCTAGAAACATTCATAAAGTCTCTTGGAGAACCCTATATGTAGACCACTCTTTCCCCTAGAATGCCACCATCATACTCAATGCTGTCTTCAAGGTAAATTACTTGCTTGACTCTAAAAATAAATCACTTCAGAAGGCAGAGAGAAACTAGAAATTATATTTGAATTTAATCTTTAAAGACACCATCTGAATAGCCATTAAAATTGAAAATTTACAGTAGCTGGCAATGTTGAAATAGAGTGAGCAGGCTCCAGAATCCACATTGCAGTGTAGCTCTTCAGGAACTCGACTGTTGAACATACTCGGCAAAGGCTGGTCACCGTGCAAAGGAAGACACGCCACCGAATGCTGCCTCTGTCAAGCCCTCCCTTGTGGCCACCAGGCAGCTCAGAATATATTGGGGAAGCTGGCATATGAAGCAATTGCACAGTGGTTGTTTTGATCTTTAGCGATCTTCATGTAGCCATTTATGCCCCATTGTTCACCCCAGCTGGAAGGAAACATGGTTTTCATTTAACAGAAAGATCATTGAATGATAGATAACATACAATAACTGGCAAGAGACCAACTTAACAGAAGGGTCAGAAAAAGTTGAGGGTCTACCCTGAGTACCAAGAGGTACCTCACATAGGATTGTGAAGACCATGGCAGAGAAAGGGTAGTTCAGTCTTAACTAAGCTGTCAGATTTTATAAAAAACAATGACATGAATTAATTGACACCCACAAACAACAGTGATGGAATGAAAAGTTATGACACCATATTGTGAATAGGTAGCTTATGGTATAGGGTAGCTCAGAGGCTAAGGACTAGAGATCAGTTAGCCATTTTAAAGCCAGATTAACACTGTAGTGTCCCTACAGCCAGTTCTCAGGACACGGTACACAAGCTGGCACAAGCTGTCTAACCAAACTAGACAGTGAACTCCTCAATCAGTGAGAGGCACTGCCTCAGTGTAGAACTTGGACAATGACTGAGGAACAACTGAAGCTAACTAACATCGGGCCCCTACACACGTGCAACTGTGCACACAGGCGTCATGGACGTAAAAGCACTCTTGCGTGCACTATCCCTCATACACACACATGGAAGAATAAAAACAGACTTTGGTCAACTTAGGTGGAACAAAGTTCCTAGCCTGTGAACTCAAGCATTAAGATGATCTCTTTGAGAGTCCTCCAGAAGGGCAGGCAGCCAGTGCTTTTAAACACTGAGCCGTCTCTCTGGTCACCAGAATTTCAAATACAGATTTTTTTTTGGCGGGGGGGGGGGGAGGGAGAGTTTATACCTGTTCTTGATCAGCCAGTAGTTATTACCATCCGTTTCATTTCCCTCAAATCCATAGCCAACCACCAGAACTGAATGATTGATAAGATAACTGCTGCAATTTGGCTCATGATAAATACCTGAGAAATAAAGCAGATGTGAGTTGCACGGACACCTGACTGTGACCACCACCATCAAGAACGGAAGCATTTCAAAGATCCCAGAAATGATGTGAGCTACAGACAGACTTAAGAGCCGAATAAACTGAGAATACTAATACAGAAGACCGAAGAAACCAAAGTAAGCATGGATTTGTTGATTACAAGTTGCTTCGGTGCTTATAAAATGAGTAATCGGAATCTTTAATTTTTAAACTAGGAGTTCATGCCAAGTAAAACTCTCTGAATAAGACTTTCTTAATTCAAGGATGTTATTAATAATTTGATTCAGGTGTACAGTCTCCATAAAACTATCAAACACCCACCAAATTGAGGACAGATTTTAAATAAGCTAAACAACAAATTTTATGAAATGCGATGTACTCGCTTACATGACAGGGTCATATTAATTAAAGATAGAACCCAGTATTATTGGGTGGGGATGAAAATCCAGACGCCCAAACAGCACTTCATGAGCACCGCACGGCATGGGGATGTCACTTTTTCTCGTATCTGGAGGGAGATATACTTACCTCCATTGTAGAACCTGAAAGAATCGTGGGAAGCATCAATTGCAGCAGAGACGGGCCCAATTGTTGCTACAGCAACCAGTAGGTAATCCTCATTTGCTGGGAGGGTCACAAACTCTGTGATATAAGCTTTAGAATTCTCAGGCTTGTACCTGCAGGGTCCTTCCTTAAAATGTATAGGGATAAGAGGCTCAGTTACTTCCACACACATCCTGGGGCTGTGCATCAGAACCACAACCCTGCAGTTGCCAGCCGAGCATCCCCATGTCTGGACTGTTGTAAATCACTCCAGGAAATGAGGTGTTACTGGGAGATTTGGAAATGAAAATCAGCTCTCACACCTTCAATGAAACCTCACAGGTCTTTAAGTCTGTAAGAAATCATGCAGGGAGGTATGTCCATTAAATGTGGGATGGTTCACATATTCTTTATGTGTGTGCACAGAAGCAAGAGCAGCTACAAGGAAACCATCGCCTTAGAAACCTGTGCAATGATGCTTTCATGAGACCATTGATGGTGTAGCATGACTCTACCTCCCAATGTGTGTTATGAAGACAATGGATTATTATACAATTGCCCCTTGCCTGAAGCTGGCTGAAATGACAGTGGCATAGAAGGTTCACTTACTTTTGCCTCATATGGATAGGTTTCCTCAGCCTCTAGACCTCCATTGTGCAAAACATACTTGTAGGCCCTGTATGCGGAACCCCAAACACAGCCATTATTGCCATGAGGTTTAGAGCAGTCCACTAGGTTCTGCACACTCAGAGTGGTCAGGTTGCCAGTTTTCCAGAACATCTGTCCTTCTATGGCACCGACAGCAGCAAAAGCCCAACAAGAACCACACTGACCCTGAACAGGGAAGTAAAGATTGTCAATACTCAAACAAATTCATCCCAGCAACCACACAGACAGATATAGTATCTGATAGATGCCCAGGGAAAGAGATAGTGCTCTCCTAGAGGACATGGCTGCTGGTGGTTAGCACATGCCCCCAGTTGATGGACACACAGACACAGACATTTGAGTAGGACCTACTGCTTTTATGGGTTATCAATGACAAGAAAAGGAGAAAGAAATCCCAGAGACAGATGCAGTAGAGGACAACAGTTAGACAAACAGTGTGTGTGTGTGTGTGTGTGTGTGTGTGTGTGTGTGTGTGTGTGTGTGATGAATTCCTAAGATAAATAGCCATAGTATAAATGCAGGGAGCTTTCACTGAAGAAATAAAAAGTGAACTGCACATTTCTTCATACTCAGTATACACACAGATACAGCAAGTATTTAGTCTTCAAAGTGGTTTAAGATTACGGACATGAGTTGCTACGTCACCTGGTTCCGCACAGGAGTCACAAAGCCTTTCTTTGTCCAGTCCTCAGATTTGGGTAAATGGTTAAGTAGAGGATTTTGGACACTTTTCACCTTCATGGCAGCTGGAACTGGAATATCAGTCATCAGTGTTCTGTATTCTTCACCGGTCTTCAAGGAAAATAACATTAGTGAACAAAGCAAAAACAAACTATGAAAGCAACCCACCAAAGCAAACCGAGGTAAAACAAAAGGACCCCGTGTAAAGAACTGATGAAAGCCTAGTGTGCAGCAACCCACGCCACACTCACCATGTCACCAAAGGCGTTCATTTCCATAGTGAAACCATGCTTCCCCAGGCCACCCTCTCCATTGTGCATTTGGATTATCTTCATGTTTTCTTCCCACACTACTCGCTTCCACATTTCTTCTTCCTGAAAATGAGCATAATGAATGGCACTTCCTCATAACTAAACTCTGGAAAGTGGACTAGCTGCTGCAGGTGGACAGGGGTCAATGAGAGGGAGCTACAGACATGGCAGCCACATACATGCCACATGCGGAGGAAAAGAGAATCTGGTCAGCCTGTGCTCACAATGCCTGTGATTAGGTAATTTTTTTCAGCGAGAGGTGAGGTCTGTGACATCTAATGTGTCTACACACTTTCTGCAGCAGTGACAATTCATCCTGAGGTCCTTCTGGGCAGTTTTCAAGTTACCAACCTGGCTGTATGATTTTCCGTATTTCGTCTTCCACTCTTGCCATTTAGCATCCAAACTGGGATCAAGCGCTGGAGCTGCTGAGGCCACTCCGAAGCACAGGATGGTCAGGAAGACAGCAGGAGTCATGTCTCAGGGACCTGGAGAGGTAAGGGAAATGAAGACGTGGCCACACCAGTATCTGTAAAATGTCTTCCTACTCCTTCCTAAGAAATCAGTCCATCTGTGGTCAATAACATTCTTTGAACCACTCTTCCAAACACTTAGAAAAGGCTTAGGATAGGTTTCAAACGAATCAACCACTGATAGTCATTAGGACCAATGCAAAACAAAGAGCATTTACCCAGCATTCTAGCAATGAAAACTTCAGGTGTACTACGTCTTATTATTCAATAAAGGTCTCCGCACACACTGAGAACCAGAAGCAGAAAGACAACCATGGGCTTAGGATATCACTGACTCATGATATAAACCAAGCAAGACTCCTATTACGTGGCATCAGATCCAAATTTCAAGATGAACCCAAGAATTGGGACCACATGGCGTTGTCTCCCTTTCTAATACACAGTGAGTAGTGGGCTTGTCTTGCTTCCTCCCTTATTGAACGAAAATTTTGTGAAATGTCTTCTATAAAGAATATGGGAAAGGCCAGGAAATGTTGGTGCACACCTTTAATACCGGCACTCAGGAGGCAGAGGAAGGCAAAACTCTGTGAGTTCAAGGCCAGCATGGTCTAAAGAGCGAGTTCCTGGACAGCCAGGACTACACATTTGGGGACGAATCACAGACACTGTTACTTCTCTCCTACAGTTTGGACCATGCAAACAAACTCTCCACACGCCACCTCAATGGGACTGAGGTCACATTGGAAAACCACAGGAAGCCAGATCCTCAAGTGGAGATGGAGTACAATAGCAAGCCTCTAGTGGGATTTCAGGTTCAGGACTTGCAGGGTCTTTAGAACACTTCCCAAAAGACCTGGATAGGGACATGCTTCCTTCTACTACATCTACACAGGTCAGCTGAAACAGAGTTACCCAAGGGTTCTGTACAGGAAATAATCTTTATCACCCAGGAGGTAGTAATGATGGTTACTGGTGTAACTTGAGTCACTCTCTGTGGACAGACTCAGGTGTGTATTTACAGGGAACCTATGCAAACCTGTACCCAGGGAACAAGAGGTCTGGATTCCTCTACTTTTTCCATCCCCTCTCCTCCACCTACACACAGAAGGATAGCTGAGCCTTAGAATATACTCTCCTTCTTGGGGATCTCCCTGATTCTCCATGGAGTCTCAAGGACCCCCTCCAGGATCATTTCCCATTCTGCCTTGGTGCAGACCGAGCCTCACCTGTGGTGACTTATGCTGCTTCAGTCCACCCACAGACTCAACTCCACGGAGCTTGCCAAGGACCCAGGATCTGACCCAGCAATACTTAGCTCAGGCTTAAATCCCAAGTATGTAGACAGTTGTCCCCACCCCTCAGCCATGCCTGCCATTTGATTGGCCGTGTTGGAGACTGGATGAGACCCCCCCAGGCACTTTGACTTTAGGCTTTTTCTGAGATATGACTTCAGCCTGATGCTGTAAGTTTGAGCCTGGGCTGCCTCTGTTGACCTTGTCAAAGGAAGTTAGATAGCCATCCTGTAGGCTGTAGATCACAGTATATCTGGTATTTTGCTTGCAGATTGTGTTTCTCGGAAGAGCTATGTGGCAGTGTACCCTCACAGTTTAGAACGGGAAGATTTTGTTACAATCCCTGGCATGGGGTTAGTCAGTGCATTCTATTTTGTATATAGTCCACTGCTATGGTTGGATCCTGTGAGAACACAGACCTTGGGATGCTCTGTTTTCCCCGTGTCAGAGGGCAACACAGTTGGGTCTCACAGGAATCTTTAGGAGAGAGTGACCCCCAAAGAGGTAAGTGATATGCAAGGCTGAACCACAATAGGAATTATGAATGAGTGTGGCTGTAAGGGGTGTCGTGAAAGTTCCTGGTTTTCCTCTTGGAGAATGCAGTGAGCTGCCATCTAGAAGCATCATCTACTTGTCACTCTTCCTGGTAGCCTTAGGGGTACATGCATTGCTTTGCAAGCACCAAAAAGAGGTATTCAGAAGGCTCTCTTCTTCAGGGTAGCTCTGGACACTGAACAACAATCCTCTTTTATCCCCCGCCCACCTTAGCGCCCATCATTTCTTTTTGTCAGTGTAGGCATTTGGCTACTGCTTTTGGTTGAGTGATGAAAGGTAGTTTTCATTGCACCAGTATTAAAAAGTGGTACCATTAAGAGATATATTATCCCACACTAGAGACTGTCACATTTCTCTCATAGTCTCGGGTTCTATTATATCATAGGGCACACAGACACCACTGTGTCTTATCCATTGATTATTACATTTGCTGGCTTCTTGAGATCAGGGAAGAAATATATGATAGCGACCTTCCCTATGCTGTACACTACCCTAGAAATCGCTAACAGTAGGAGATATAGTGAAGGCTAACTTTTTAGATTTGCATAAATGTTCTTAGAGAAACTGAAAAGCATCAATAAGAGGTGTCGGCTCTTACTATTACCCACAGTCCTCTATGCTCTGTTTACCTTCTGCTTGTTTCCCTCTTCACACGTCCTATTCATTTTTAAATTCATTCTTTGGAGTATCATACAGTATAATTTTATCACGTTATTTCCCACTGCCTAACTCTGTGGGGATAGATTATTTATGATTTACTAAAGCTTGCCAGAGAGCTCAAAAAGCAAAGCTAGCCACAAGCCATAGAGCCAGGCAGTGGTGATGCACACCTTTAATCCCAGCAGCCATACTAGCTAGCCACAGAGACAGGCAAAAGTGGTACACACCTTTGATTCCAGGACTCAAGAGGCAAGCAGATGGATCTGTTAGTTCAAAGCCACACTGAGCTACATGAAACTGATCTAGTCCTGAAGAGAAACAGCTCACACAAAGGTGACATCAGCACGTGGGATCACACACCTTTAATCCCAGCACTAGGGAGGTATTAAAGGTAGAACCAAAATAGTGAATGAGAGAATCAGTCTCTAGCCACGTTGAGGAGAGCATAGCAGTCTGAGTGAATTTGAGGATCGTCCCTTTAGTCTGAGGTAGAAGTAAGAGCTAGTAGCTGGTGCTTCTTTGATCATCAACTTGAACCCCAAATCTGTCTAAGTTTTATTATTCGTGTTATACAACTCCTCCCCAATTCCTTCTATCTATCAATGTAACTTCGTGTTCCTTTACTCACTCAATAAAAGGAGAAAAAAAAAGCCACTAAAAAACAGAGTCTGATTTATGCTGTCTAGCTACCCCCAAGCATGTGACTTGCCACTGGAGAAATCTGATTTTCATTCTCCAAGCTGCTCTTACTTCTTGACTAGCAGTGGGTTCTTTGCACATCACCTTTCCTTCACGATGGGATTTTGTTTGGTTGAGCTCTAGGTCTTGTGCATGTTGTGACAGACATTTGAGTGTGCTCTAGGCCCTAGTTGTGGAGCAGTAAAATAACAGGAGGAGCATGTGTAAATTACTCAGGATAGGCATGACATCTCAGGGTTATTCGTCTTATATCCTGCCCACCCCACCCCCACCAAAAAAAAAACAACACAACACAGCAGGAATAATTTCCATCGATGCTTTGATTTCCATGACTGCCAGGTCTTCACAGATGCAGATGGCCTTCTTCTTGAGCAAACCCATGACCATGCATATGCACCTGCATCTCCTTTGCAAATATCTTCATCTTTCCACTGATCGTAACAAGACTCCAAGAGTGATTTTCTCTAAACATGATTTTTGAGAACACAAAAATCCATAAGGTAAGATGCAGATTATGAAAATGGACAGGGGGTTGGTGGGGAATAAATATGACACAGCTTTAAAATTAATGAAAATATTGTGCAATCAGATATCAAAGGAAGTATACATAACCTTTCAAACATGATATTAAATATTGAAATATTTATTTTGAGATGAAAACTATTATCTCATGGATATCTTTGTAAAACATTATAATGCTACCTACATAAAATTAAATTATGTAGCACTTCATTACAGGTGTTGACTTTCCATTGGATTTAATAATTTAAACTCACTAACACTGTGGCATATATCAACCCCTCTTTTATGTGTAAAATATTTCACTAGATGAATATGTATTTTATTTATATAGTCTTCAGCTGATGTTAATTTGTCATACATTTAGGCTAATATGCATAGTCTCTAGAATATTTGTGCACTTAAATTTTCCTTAATAAACATCGTCATTTGTTCATGCCATCTACAGAACAGGTTAAATCATATGAACAATTCTTTGAGACACAACCATACCGGCCTCTACCATTCCTATTGTAGCTGCATTCCTTAAACATAATGCCTAAGAATTCATTCAGACCAGGTCTGGAACTTTCATCCATCTATCTATCTATCTATCTATCTATCATCTATCTATCTATCCATCTATCTATCAATCAATCATCTATGTCTCTAATTCTCTCACCTTACCTTTTCTTTGCAGCCTTCATCCCTCCCTCTCTCCCTTCTTCCCTCCCTTCATCCTCCATGCATCAATTACTTGATATATTTCCTTCCCCAACTCCACCTTTTTTTAAAGATCTTTCTCCACATTTCCCTAATTTGCAATAATGTGGTGAAGCATGCTATAATCATAACAGATATGCATCCATGGTGCTAACCTGCAGGCCAAGAAGCGTGCTGAAATGGCATGCATCAACCCCTCCCTTTCTAGCCTGAGTTCCCATTCCTATTGGCTGTTCTTAGCTTTCCTATCATTCTAGGCAGGAGTGAAAATACTATGGCAACTTGCTACTCAGTTTTATTATTAAAATTGAGGAAGTAAATGGTGTTGAATGAAATTTTTTCCAAATGTTTTATAAAAGTTTTCCAAAATGTTTGATAACTCAAATTTCAGAATATTCTTGAAATTCTACTTTATATTCTTTCTAAATTAAACCTATTGTCTGTTTTTCTTTAAATGAGGTAATACAACACCAACAACTCAATGGATGTATACTTTTTCAGTATTTCTTACATAAATCATTTCTTACTTCATGCACTGTTTTGGGATGTAGATAACACTAACACTATTGTGTCTAAGACTGTGATGATCTTAAGAAAAGGGTGGAATCTCATCAGAGACAATAGGAGATGTGAGTTGCTGAAGCTGTTGGAACTCTGCAGCCCCAAGTCAAACCTAGACACCACCAGACTTTAAAAGGTTTTCTGAATAAACAGAATGTTTACATTAGCATATTGATTACAGGACTGTCCTGGTCCAAAACTAATGAAGGTACCTAAGGTCTAGTAGATAAGTGATCCTACAAAGTACAATCACAGAATCTAAGAAGCATCAAATCATAAAGTTGCCCATATTCCAACTTCAATACTATTTTGTTGAGGCCTAATTTCAATGCATGAACATCATTCTTATGGTAGATAAATCTCAACACATTTAACATGCCCTTGCTTTTATTTTCCACATCTCAGAATACGTTTTTTTCCTTATAAGCAACATTATAATTAACATTATTTCCCATGTATCTCATGATAAAGAAAAAACAGTATAATGAATCAATTTCCAGAAATTGAACTTCCTGCAGAAAAAAGAGATGATCTTACATATAGCAATCAAAATGCCCATTTTCTTAAAATATACGTGATATCTCAATTTATAAGCATTTTGAGGCCTAATTTGCTTTTGTGATGCTTGCTTAGGATGTATCTAAATACAAAACTATTTTTCCTTACAAATTTAAAGTGGCTTTATTCCCACCATCATGTTTTTCAGCACCTTGATAGTTATTACCAAATTATTTAAACGAAGTTGGGAATCTATACTCCATAATGTTCCAAACAGTCTGGATAAAAATTTATATAGGAATTTACAGCAACATCATGAAGTAAAACTTACAAATCCATACTGTAACTGGAAACACCTTACATTCCCCATCAGTATTCATCAGGCTATGTGGACACTCTGTGAGTACCATGTACTATCTCCTGTGTCGTGGAGGAAATATGAAGCAGTGAGGAGCGATTTGAACCCAGGGTCAGGAAAATGGGGAAGAATGGCCTGGATTTGGCTCTGATGCCATCCGTCAATCTCCAAACACTCATAATCACCATACTGAGACCACTTCAAATGTGTTGTTTCTGTAAGGAACTCTGAATTTTCTGTGGCTTATTCCCATGGAATCCTACCCAGAATTAGGCAATACCCTAAGCTTTAGAGCCATAGTGTTCATTTATATGAGAAGAACAGTATAAAATGGTAGTTTATATTGGTAAATTCTGGATAGTTTAATATATTTGTCAAAGAAGGCCCTTCTGATCTTTACTGGATTTCAGAAGTAGACAATGATCCTTCCTTGATATTTTTCTTTGGAAAACCAAGAGTTTTCTGCTTC